AGACCTGGAGAAGAAGATATAAAATATTTTCAAACCTTAGCAGAAACATATCAAGAAAATGCTATTAAAATATATCCAAATGTAAAAGTAATCACTAAAGAAACCCTTATTCCAAAAGAAGAAATTAATAGTTTTATAACCAATATTATTAATGAAAAGGAAATATATTCCTGAATCAGAGGATACTACAAATAAAATGCCACCTCAAAAGAAAAGAAAAATAGAAGAAGAAATTACTAATCTGAATATAGTAAAAGCAACTAAAACCTGGACAAAAGAAATATTTAAAATTCAGAACAATAGAATTAAAGGAGATAGCCTAGAAGAAAAAGCAGCACAAATATTAAAAGCTCAGAATATGATAACTATAATGACAAAAGCCCACTTTTCAGAAGAAAATGAAAAAAAGATAAAATTAAGAAAAATTGTAGGAGATGGAGAAGTAGACTTATTTGGAGAAATAGTAATTCATAATCAAACATTACAATGGATAGTGCAATGTAAAATAACAAAAAGATTAAAAAATAGTGTAGTAAATGAAATGAAAGGATTAATATCTTCTAGACCTAACACCATAGGATTCATTATATATGGAAGGAAAAAGGGTAACACTGAAATAATAACTGAAACAGTAAACAGTAACATATTTGTATGTCATATAGAAGAATTACATACATTGAGAAATCAAATTGAAAATAAATACCTGAAGAAAGGGATAAAAACCACTGCAGTAACAAGAATACATATAGACAAAATAGAAAATACTGAATTTGATAATTTAGGGAGAATTACTAAAGCATGAAAAATTAAAAATATGAATATACTGTAGAATATTAATTTTTATTTATTTTTATTATATTATTATTTAATGTATTTATTATTTATTTATAATTTATGTTAATTGAAGATCATGTAACAGGTGGCTCACCAGGTTGATTACCAGGTGAATCATCTAGGTAAATTACCTGTTGCACGTAACAGGTGGATCACCAGGTTGATTACCTCTTGCTAAAATTGGTAAATCATTAA